TTGAGAGGCATGGCTCTGGCAGGCAGGTAACTGTAAGGTTCCGGTGAAGGCCAGACAGGGGAGCTGCTGTGGGGGCAGTTCTAATTGTGTGGAAAGCGTCCCCCAGACCAGGCATGCTACGTGGCACGGCATGAGGTAGGTAGGAACCCGTTTTATGGATCATCTTTGTCAGTTAAGGCCTGGGAAAGCTGAGCCGGATGTCCAAGTGCTTGAATTCATCAGCAAAGCCCTTGAAATCCAGCATTTTTCAGTTTCTGTGAATGCCAGTGTTCAGGGTGTCTGGGATGGTTTTAGGAGGAGGCTTCTCTGGGCCCAGGGCTGAGGGCTTCCTGCCTGTCCAAGGTGAGACTAGCCCATGCCGTTGTGCTCTTGGCTTTGAACCAAGGTACAGCCTTGTCTGTTTCCAGGGCACAGCCGGAGTCTGAGCGATTGTGTCCCACTGCTGCAGAAACACCAAAATGCTAGCCTTTCAGAGTCAGGGGCGGGGGTTCCTGTCAAAGGCCACCTTGAATGTGGTGACGCGAAAAGAAATGCAACAAGTGCAGCCTTGTGCAGAGTTCTAGGGGCTCCAGAGACGCCCCTTGGACGTGAGGGTGACCAAACCCCACTAAGAGGCAGCGCCTGGGAGTGCCGACAAGTGGGGGCGTGGCCAAATGCAAGATGGCGCGGTGAGTAAAATAAGCAGCGCCCCCCGGCCCCCCCCCCCCCCCACGTGGCATTCACCTTCCACTCCAGAGAAGAGGAGGCCAAACAGTCTCCCCACCCCGGGTCACAGCCAGTAACTACGGCCCCGAAGCCTGCTAGGTAACGAGCCATTCGTCCTAGTCCATTCTGTGCTGCGGTGGCAGATATTTGAGACCAGGTAATTTACGAAGAACAGAAATTTATCGCTCACGGTTCTGGAGGTCCGGACGTCCAAGATCAAGGTGCTGCTGGCTCCGTGTCTGGCAAGGGCTGTTCTCTGCTTCCAAGATGGCGTCCTGGAGCTGCCGCGTCCTGAAGCTGCTGCGTCCTCTGGAGGGGACAGAGGCTGTGTCCTCCCAGGAGGAATGAGGCAGGGCACTAAGGGGAGGAACTCTCTCCACTGGGGCTTTTACAGGGCTTCTGATCCCACGCGCAAGCACTGAGCCTCACGACTCAAGTCACCTCCCAGAGGCCCCCCACCTCCCAACACACACTAGGACTAAGTTTCCAACCGGTGAGCTTGAGAGGAAGTATTCAGACGTCTCACCATTCCTGAAAATCCCAGCTCCATTTGATCCATGTGTTCAAGTGAGGTTTTTTGTTTGTTTTTTTTTTTAAAGATTTTTTGCCATAGGGTGTGTGTACTCACCAGAGAAAAAGGGAAAGTGAGAAATCACAGCCCCCCTCACCCTGCCCCAGGCGGGAGGCCAGACTGCAATCCCTTTTCCTCCATTCTACTCTTGGGATTTCAGGGCGTGCGCGTGCGCACACACACACCCTGTGTGTTTTTCAAGTTGTTGGGTCAAGGTCTTGAACAATGGACTTGGCCATATGGGATCCAGTGCCTTAACCACACACCACCTACTGACCCTCAAGTGAGCATTTTTTAAAAAGGCGGCATGAATCTGAGCTTTGCTGAAGGGATCTGGTAAACATTTTTTCTCCACAAAGCAAGAAAAGCTCAGGTTGGTCATTTGTTTAGCAGAAGCAGAGCACTTCTAAAATAACCCTCCTCAGTACTTGGAAATGACTTCACGGCAGCAGGAGGGCACACTGCTTCCTTTAGGGGGACTCCGATGACCTAACGCAGAATTAAGTATGTGTGAGGCTGCAGCTAGAAATAGCCTCATTAACATTTCAGACCTAATGTATGGTGCTATGGCTTGATGTAAATGTAAGCACAGGTGGGGCCAGCAGGGAGTGTGGTGGTTAAGGCACTGGACTCCCACATGGCCGACCATGGTTCTAGTCTTGGACCTGGCAGCTTGCTTTCTCACTTTCTAGCAACTGCATGTGCTCTATAGCAAAATTTTAAAAGTAATGATGATAAAGTTAAATAATTCTTTTAAGAATTATTTCATTTTATTTATTCATTTATTTTAATTTGACTGGAGACACAGAGAGAGCGAGAGAGAGAGCGCGAGCGAGCGAGCAAGCCGCCAGGTCCAGGACTCGAACCATGGTCAGCCATGTGGGAGTGTCCAGTGCCTTAACCACCATGCCACCTGCTGGTCCCCAAAGTTAAATAAGTCTTTTAAAAAAATGTAAGCACAGGTAAGATGTCACTTAGAGGACATCTTTCTATAGAAATACAACCTTGTGTGGATCAAAATTCTTAAGTTTCTTTTTAAAAATATGATTAACTTTATTTATTGTTATTATTTTAATTTGACCAGACAAAGAGAGAAAAAGGGAAAGTGAGAAAGCAAGCCGCCAGGTTCAGGACCCAAACCACGGTTGGCCATGTGGGAGTCTTGCCCCCCAACCACCACCCAAACCGCCCCAGGTTTTTTTTAAGTCCATGTATTTCTTTCTTCCATGAATAAGTGAGAGAAAGAGGCACCCCCCAACAAAGTTTCCACACCACAGTCCACCCCCGGCTCCAGCCAGTCCTGGACCGTGGGCACGGGTGCCTGGTGTGCTGGGTGAGGGCTCCAGATGCGAGCCTGGGGTGCTCCAATGTGGTTAGCCTCACAGAATCGTGGCACTACTTGCCAGTCTGGCCCCTTGGCCACCTTGTTTTCCCTCTTACTATTTTTAGGTTTTTGCTATAGAGCACATGTGCTTACTAGAGAGAGAGACAGAGAAAAAGTGAGAAATCACCCCCCGGGGGGCTGGCCACACTGCAATCCCTTCTCCTTTATTCTCCTCTTGGGATATTTTGGGCACACACGAATATGTGCCCAGCGTGATTTTCAAGCTGCGAGGTCTAGGGCACAAATCATGGTTGAATCATGGTTGGAGGTGTGGAAGTCCAGCACCTTGACCACCATCTTATTCTTTTTTTTTTTTTTTTTTTGAGAGATTTTAGCTAAAGGGCATGTGCACTTGCCAAAGACAGAGCGATAGAAAGCGAGAACTCACCCCCCCAGAGGGGATAGCCACACCACAATCCCTTCTCCACCATTCTCCTCTCAGGATCTTGGGCACGCACACACACATGTCCGGCTTGAGTTTAAGCCACCGGGTCCGGAACTCAAACTGCGGTCGACTACATGGCAGTCCAGCAACCCCGCCATTATGCCAACTGCTGGTCCCCCCCCCCTTATTCTTTTAAGATAAGATTAAAGTAGGGGGAAAAGGCATAAGTTCCAGACAGGGACCTTTTTGAGCACAGTGAGCTGGACAACAAATAGATTTACCGGTCGAACAGCAGAGCAGGAAGTTGTAGCAATGCTATGAGACAACACGAACAAGGATTAAGAAAATCATTTGTTTTAATGTTTGGTCCTCATTCCTCACAACACAGCTCTTCTCAAAAAAAGAAATGCCAATTCCAGCTTATGACTGTAAGGACGAAGTTCCTGCAGTTGGTGGGGCGTAGGGAAGGGAAGAGTGGTCCGGGCTCCATCTAGTGATCCCAGCCTAGGAAGCCCTTCCTGATAAAGTGCTTGAAGAGAGCAGCCAAGCCTCGGAGGACTGGCCCTGTGCCGAGGAGGGCCGGAGACAAGCTGGAGGACAGCCAGCTCCAGCGGCCTTCGAGAAGGCCCCAACCCTGGAAGCTGCAGCAGCAACACTGCCCTCAAGCCAGCCCCACCCCAGGACCCCACATTGCAGAAACAGCAGAGGAGACGCGGCTGAGAACAGACTGGTAGCTACTGCGCCAGGTAGGCAGACGAGCCCTACACAGCACAGAGTGGCTGGACAGCCCTGGGCGCTGCGGAGTGGAGACGGAATCGGATCTGGAGCTGTCTCTCTCTCCTCCTCACTGTACTTTGATGGGGGCGTGGGGAGCCCAGGTGTAGGGTGGGCATCACTGGTCCGACTCGCCACCAAGACCCTGCAAGACCCCCCCGAGAACGAGAACACAGATCAGTGTACACCTGGCATGTGCTGCCCCAGGCAAGCCCGGCCACTGGGCAGGCGGGAACGAGGTCTTTCCCTGCAGACTCCGGGTCCTTTCCAGCCCAGAGTACCCAGTAGGTCTTAGTGCAGGCGTGCCAAGGTGGAGGCTGACCCTCTTGTTATGCATGGTGAATTTAAGTAGTGTCACAGCATCCCTCAGTAACTAAGATGTCCATGAAGACAAGGCTAGGTCTTAACTCTTCACTGGTGAGTCCACTCCAAGGAAAAGTGAAGGAAATACTAGTCCAGGAGGTTAGGGAGCGAGCAGGTGCTGAGATGGGAATGTGACCACCCGAGCTGGTGGGTTGATGAGGTGCCAGTATGGCGCCAGGCCTCGTATTAATAGAAGGGTCTCCCCAGACAGGCCCAAGGCCCGGGGTCTCACCGCTGAGTTGACAAACAGGTGAGGTGCTTGGACTTCCTGCTTGTGTGAGTCCAGGAGGTGCCTACCTGCTCGTAATCTTCCACGTACTTGTATTTCTTCTCCCGGTAGTAGAACCTTTTCTTCATGCAGTAGAGGACTACGATGTCGCACAGCACTGTCGCCTGCGTTGAGCACCGGGTGACAAAGGAAGAGCCATGATGCTTTTCACCTGTTCTACGCATGTCCCTTCCCACAAAGTCTAGGGTCCCTTTGGCTAGAGGACTTATGTGCTCACCAGAGAGAGAGAGAGGAGAGGAGAGAGCACCCCACCATGGGGCACCGTGACCCCGTCTCCTGCGTCTCCTTCCTTTGGGGATTTTGGGCATGCGCACACGGGCCCAGTGTGTTTCTCAAGCCACAGTGTCCGGGACGGACTGTGTGGCCAGCCATGTGGAATCCAGTTGCCTTAACCACGAGGCCATAGAACCAGCCCAAAGCCTAAAATCTTTTTCTGGAATGGGGGCCTCCATTTCTCAGAAGGCAAGTAGGCCCTGAGGATCTTAGAGAGGGGGACGAGGTCAAGGGAGAGAAGCCTAGACCCTGGGCGTGGACCAGAACCCCAACTGAAGGTCTCACTGTGTGAGTATGCCAGGGAGGGCCCGTGGGATGAATGGGAAGCCCCAAGCCACTCACCACCCCTAGCAGTGCCAAGCCAGAGCCAATGTTGATCATGGTAGGAATGATGTCAAACTTCCCTGCCTGCAAATGACAGAAGAAAAAGGAGATGAAAGAAAAACGTTTGGGCCAGGGCAGGAGACAGCAGATAAGGGGCAGGGAGAGGGCCCTGGCCTCCGCGGGGTCCGGGGCAGGCTACCTTTCCAAACACAATGATGTCGAAACGGATGCCGTACGCTTTGATGAGCGTGCGCTGCTCCCTGCCGCCGAGGTCCCTGTAGTACTTGGCAAACCTGGGGAAGGGACAGAGTCAGAGAGAAGGGCACTGGTCAGAGCGAGGCCAGCGGCTGGAGCTTGGGAGGGCGCTAGAGCAGGATGCACGGAGTCCCTCGCAGGGTGGCTCTGGCTGACAGTCTGCCCAGGCAGCAGGGGCCACAGGAAGCTCCGTCTGTCCTCTCTGCCCTCCTACAAGATGAGTTACGCTCGGACCCGGCTCTGATACAGCAGAGTTGGCTCTAACAGCGGCAGCCCCCCCGGGGGAGACTGCCCTGCAGGTGGGGACTGAGCCAGCCACCCATACTGCATCAGCACCAGGCTTGGGTCAAACAGATCATGGGCCTGAGGTTCAGGCGCCCCCGGTGGATCCCCGTGTAACACGGGGCAGCACACAGTACCGTGTCTTGGTGGTTCTCCACCATCCCCTGCTATGTTCTGTTCTAATTTATTGAGATATAGTTTAGATATGTGCAATTCACCCACTTAAAGTGTCAAATTCAATTGTTTTGGGAATGTTCAGAGTCGTGCAACCATCACCAGTTGATTTTAGGACATTTTCAACACCTCAAAAAGAAACCCTTGAGACCAGCAGGTGGTGTGGTGGTTAAGGTGCTGGACACTCCCACATGGCAGACCACGGTTCGAGTCCCAGACCTGGTGGCTTGCTTTCTTTCTCACTTCCTCTCTCTTTGTCTCTCTCTGGTCAAATTAAAAAAAGAAAGAAAGAAAGAAAGAAACCCTTTAGCTGTCACCTCGTATTACTCCCCAGTCCTGGCAACCACCAACCTCCGTCTGTCCCTGTGGACTCGTCCCAGATTCTCACAGTCACACACGGTGAGAATCACGCTCTCCAGGTTTGTCCCTGTGCTTCACCTCTTGCCAGATATTCTGATGTGACCGTGTTTTGTTTATCCATTCATCTGTTGGTGGATCAATAGTTCAGAAAAGCCTGTTGCTGAGCCAGGGACTGGTGAGGGCTCCATCAGCTTCTCTCCATTCTAGTATTCCAACCCAAATCTGGGCTTTGCAGGGTACAGAAACCACAGTGGTTTCTACAAGAACCATGTGACAGCAGGGACAGGGCAATCCAAATGTAACTACTAGGAATAAAGTGCCTGCCCTCGTCTCAATGAACCAGACAGTTCAAAATTTGCACAGATCCTAAATTACAGAAATCTTAGGATCTTTAGGGATGTGATTCCATGCATGACCACCAGAGGGAGACAAACACAGCACAAAAATGCTGCTGACCCATTCAGGTGTCCACCCTTGTAAGGGCCACTTTTTACTTATTTTAATTTGACTAGAGAGGAACACATCAAGAAAGAGCAAGTCAGAAGGCAAGCCACCAGGTCTGGGACTAGCACTGCGATTGGCCCTGTGGGACTCCACCGCCCTTAACCACTACACCACTTGCTGGCCGCTAGGACCCATTTTTAAGAGTGGTTACATGTGTGAAAATGCATATGGCTATAGATTTCGCAGCGTCGAGGGAGTGGCCAATATGACCTGGCCGCAGCTCTCCCACCAGAGTGGCAGTTGTAGGTTTATCAGCATCGCCCCAGAATTCACATCCACCTGGGTCCTGTGACTGAGACCCGATTTGGAAATGCAGTCACTGTGAGCATGACTAGCTAAGACGAGGTCTTACTGGGTGAGGAGGTTGTGCCCTAAATCTAATGTGACTGTGTTCCTTCAAGAAGAGACACCCAGACAGGCACAGAGGGAAGAAGGCCACGTGAGGCTGGAGAGAGGCAGCCAGGGATCACCAGGAGCCACCAGAGCTGGAGGAGGCAAGGAGGAGCCCCCGCCCCCACCCCCATGGCCCTGTTGACACTGTTATTTTAGACACGGGGCTCCAGAACTTAGGATAAATTCCTGTTGTTTTAAAGCTACCCAGTTTGGGACCGTTTGCTCAGCGGCACAAGGACGCTGAGAGGCGGCATTTTCTTTCTTTTTTTCTTTTTTCATCTCCAGGGTTGGTGCACGCTCCAGAAACAGAGAGGAAAAATGAGGAGGCACCTCTTTAGCGGGGATAGTCATACCACAATCCCGTCCTCCATTCTCCTCTTGGGATTTTGGTCACATACGCACACACGCCTGATGTGTTTTTTTAAACTGCTGGGACCAGGACTTGAATGCTGCGGTCAGCCATGTGGGGTCCAGCTCCATGCAACCTGCTGGCCCTGACAGCATTTTTAGCAGGACAATACTGGCGAAGGCCTTTCTTGAGCCTAAAAGTGTATCCCTGCATTCTGGGGCAGGCGCAACCTCTGAAAGCATTTGTTAGGCCACACCCCAGAGGCCTCTGGACTGGAGGTTCACAAGATCATCCATCTGTTCCCCAACAATTTGCAGAGTCCGGCCCTGGAAAGCGAGCACCACCAGCCTCTCCCTAGCCCTTCTGTGGTTGTCCCACTGAGTTGCTGGCGGCAGGAAAGGGTGAGGGGAGCTCTCCCAGGCTGGGGTGCCCAGCAGCAGGAGCTTGCTCAGAGCTCTCTCCCTGGCACTCAGGCTTCCCAGACACGAGATGGGCGGCCTGCCCTGGGGGTGCCCCCACTGGAGAGGAATCCAGCCAACGTCACCCTGACACGTGAGCAGTGGGGTCTAAGCGCACGCCCACCTGAAATTGTAGCCGGGAGATACGTTGTGGTCCGTGTCCCGCGTGTCCAGGCGGCGGAAGGAGTACCGGGGCAGGCAGAGGGCGGCGGCCCTGTCCAGGTTGCAGTCCCAGTGGATCTGGATGCCCATGACACCACCCTGCAGGTGGAGAAGCGGCACAGCCACAGCCATGCATTCCTTTCTGCTCTGCTTCCGGATTTACCTAGTGCTGTGTTAGAAGGGCCAGGCCCCGTCCTCACTAGGGGATGATTTCTCACCTTCCCTTTCTCTGGCAAGCACACACACCTGGATGGCAAAACCCTCACAAAAAAAAGAAAGGAAGAAACAGAAGAGCCAGGCCTGTACCTACCTCGACGGCCATGTCCTGGAAGCTGTGTCCCGCGTACTCCACTATTTTACCAAGACGGAATATGGGGCAGAAAGGGTCTGTCTCAGCATCATAAATGCATGACTTGAGGTAGGCAGTGGTGATGTTGGGGAGGATATTCCTCCTAGAGTCGGGAGAAAGCAGAAAACCGGCCAGAGAAACCTCAGAGAGGAGCGACACGTTGCTTGAAGACACTGGTGAACCCCCACGCCTGGCCGCCACTTACTTGCTGAAATTAAATTTGGGATACCAGATGTTGTTCTTTACCAAGAGAGTGAAGTTTTCTGCCGCCTTTAAAAAAGCAGGCCTGAAAAGGACGAGGAGGTATAGTGAGCCAAAGCAGAAACGCGCTCACGCACCCATGCAGTGCTTTGAAAACACCTGCCTTACGATGCCGTCTCACTAAGAGGAAAGGGAATCCTCTCTAGCGTTTTCTACTCTCTTTGCATTAAACACCGGGTCATGACAAAAGCCTTCCAGGTCGTTCTGGAAGGGCAGGGCCTCTTCCCCAAGGCAGTGGAAATGGAAGAACCCGGAGGTAAGCTAGTGAGGGTGGTGTCTCGGCCCCGCTGGAAACTGCGTTTCAGGTTGGCCTCATGCAGGTGCTCCTGGGGGAATGAATGTCCCACAGATCTAGTCCGACAGGTTGGAGCCAAAGTACACTCAGCTACGCGGATCCCGACCGCTTCTGAAAAGTACACACAAAGCACTGCCTGCTGGCGCTCCTGCCTCGTGGAAGTGCCACGTCAGCTCCTGGCTGACATGCAGGTTGAACCTGCCCCAAGGGGACCCCAGGCAGATTTCCACAGGAGGACCCAGCGCTGTAGGGCAGACGCTCCTTTACTTAGAATTATTATTTTATTTATTAATATTATTTTAATTTGACCAGAGGGGGGGGGGAGTAAGAAAGTCAGCTGTCACTGTCAGGTCTGGGACTCAAATGTGGGAGTCCAGTGCACTAACCACTATACCACCTGCTGGCCTCCCACCAACATAAAATATTAATGAGCTAGTACACACTTTTTTGTCCTAATAAGTTTTCAGAATCTGGAGTGTTTTTTTTTGTTTGTTTGTTTGTTTGTTTTTAAGAGAGATTTTTGCTATAGGGCACGTATGCTTGCTGGAGAAAGAGAGAGAGACGGGAATTGAGAAATCACTCCCCCAGAGGGGATGGCCACGCTGCAATCCCTTTTCATCCATTTTCCTCTTGGGATTTTGGGCACACATGCACATGCGCCTGGTGTGAATTTTAAACCGCTGGGTCCGGGACTCAAACCGCAGTTGACTACTTGGTTGTCCAGCAATGTAACAATGATGCCATCTGCTGGTCCCTGGAGTGTATTTTTTCCTGTAATTTGTCAGAGGGCACGTGTGCTTGCCAGAGAAAGACAGAGAGGGGGAGGAAGAAAGCATCCCGTCAGGAGCAGCGGTCACTCTGGGGTCCCTCCTCTCTCCCTCCTCCCAGGATTTTGGACACAATGCACATGTGCCTGGCATGCTTTTCGAGCTGCCAAGTTCAGGACTAGAGCCACGCAGTCGGCCTGGTGGGATGCGGATCCCTGTACCGCCGGGCCACAGGCGGGGCCAAATCTGGAGTACATTTTGTACCAGCAGCTCATCACGTTTGGGATGGCCACGTCCCGAGTGCCCACAGCGAAGTCCTGGCACTGGACAGCACAGCTCGCAAGCCCCTTCCCAGCACAGAAGGCTCCGAATCCTCCTGTTTTCCTATTTCCTTCCTCAGCCTGAGCTGCTGCCCTCGGCAGTTTCCGAATCAGCGGCTCTCGGTCTTTTCTACCATCGCAACACACCCAGGATGAGGCTGAGTAGTTTCTTGCTGCTCCAGGTTTTCTAGACCTCAGTGTGGACTGGGTGTGAAAGGCCCTGGGCCAGCAGATGGTGTAATGGTCACGGTGCTGGACTTCCCTGTGGCTGACCATGGCTCAAGTCCTGGACCCGGTGGCTTGAGGATCACACTGGGTGTGTGCGTATCCAAAATCCTAGGGGGAGACCGGAGGAGAAGGGATTGCAACGTGACCATCCCTCCTGAGAGGTGATTTCTCGCTGTCTCTGTCTGCCTCTCTCCAGCGAGTGCATGTGCCCTATGGCAAAAACCTTAATAAAACAAACAAAAAAGGGCCCAGGTTGCAGGCGACTCTCAGGGCCTTTCCTTCAGTTCCACCTGCTTGGAGCACAGCGACTGATAACCGGGAAGAATGCTATTCTAGGGCAACCCTGGATCTGCTCTAGTTCCTAGAACACTTTGGCAGACATGTATTATGTCCTGCCCAGCATCTGATCCCCCTTTTCTGCTGACAGAACCCCGATTTCCTCTGGAAGCCACACTCCCCCGCTCTTGGCCTGTGTCATCCAGGAGGTGCTGTCTCTAGCCCTCGCTCTAAAGGAGGGCGGGTGACCCAGGCCCAAGCAAATCGGCAGCGCCCTCCCCCCACCACAGCAATGGAAGCGCGTGGGCGATGATGCGGATGGTCACAGAGGAAGGGAGACTCGGCCCGGGGGTGTAAGCCCAGAGCCGTGTCCTGGGACCCAGCCGTCCATCCTGCAAAGGAGCAGACATGGAGGGCGCAGAGCCAAGAGGGCGTCTCGGATTTCATCCCCGAGCGCCAGGTCTGGCCACGCTAGCTCTCGGTTAGCTGGACGACGTGCTGCCCCACCGTGTGCATTTCTACATGTGTGCCTCAGGCCCTGAGGGCTGCTCTGTCAGCAAACACGTGGCCTCCTTGCCACTGGGGGCACTGCTCTGCGTTGCAAAGCCTCACCTCAGGGCAGCTGCCTCCGCGCGGCCAGCAAGAGCACAAGAAGCCACAGCACATGGGCTCGCTCCTGCCACCTCCTCTCTGGCCCCAGAACCGAGCATAGGGCACTGCCTTCTGTCGGCAGGACTCACTCTGGCACGTGACTGTCGTCCTCCACCGGGCACCAGGCTCTCACCTCGCATGTCTTCACGGACCCGTTGAACGGTACACACCTGCCTGTCAGTTCTCCTATGGAAGCAAAGGGACCTGGGTTCGCAGGGGCAGAGAGGGAGAGCCCCGCCGCGGGACCCTCTGCAGCCAGTCTCGGGCTAGTCCAGAGTCAGGGACTCTGGGACTGGGACAGTGGCCAGGAATTATTGGAGGACGGCAGCTGCCTGCTGGCCACATCTCTCTCTGCTAACCCCCAGCAGGGTGACACCAAGCCCCACCACACGGTAAGTCCTGGGGTCTCTCTGGGGCTCACATGACAGGTTCACCCAGGGTCCTGTGAAGGCACTGGGGGTTGGGGAGACTGCTTAGATCTGAGATTCTCCATCAGAGACGCTCGGGGGTGGGGGTGGGGGGCCACCAGTGTGCTTTTCAAGTCAGGTGGGGGGGGTGGGCGGCGGTCTCCCTGGGCTAAGCGTCTGCTGTGGGCTCCTACCGTTGCTGTGGGTGCCTGTGAAGCCGGCCTTGCAGCTGGCATCCGTGTTACACACAGTGGTCTTATCTGGGATCTAGAAAGAGGAGAATGAGAGGAAACACGGTCCACGCGGCTCACACTCAGCGGACAGGGCGCACGGGGGAGGCCCGAAGTGCTGGCCTTGGGAGCTGCCTACCTCGGGGCAGGTGCTCTGAGTCTGGTTCAGGGTGACAATCAGGTTGGTCATGATGAAGAGCGAGTTTTCCTCCTGCAGAGCGGGCAGAGGGGAGAGAGCACTTCACGTGAGCAGAGCCATAAAGAAGGGCGGATGTTGACTTCATAAGACAATTATGGTCTCTCATTGCTCCCATGAGAGTTTATAACCTAATTGAAGACAGACTCAAACACGTGAGATGTAATGATCATAGGAGCAATTTTCTTTTTTTTTTCTTCCTGTAGGGCATGTGTGCTTGCCAGAGAGAGGGAACATGGGAAGTCACTCCCCAGGGAGGATGGCTACACCACAATCCCTCTCTTCTCAGGATATTAGGCACACATGCACACATGCCTGGCATGATTTTCAAGCCACCGGGTCCAGGACTCGAATCATGGTCAGCCATGTGGGAGTCCAGCGCCTTAACTACCATACCACCTGCTGGCCTCAGGGTCACTGTTCTTTCACGACAGACAGAAGATAGAAACAACCAGATGTCTGTCAACAGATCAGTGGTTAAGCCAAACATGGCACGTCCGGGTGAGACTGTTACTCAGCCATGAAAAAGAGCGAAGCACTGGTACATGCTACGACATGAATGGGCACCAAAAACATGCCAAACAGAAGATGCCAGACACCAGAGGCCACATGCTGTACATGGGAATCCTCAAAAAGTTCATGAAAAGTGCACGTTATGAACCTAGGCGTGGATTTCAGAACTCTCTTGAACCAAAATTAATTTGTGCTTTAATTCCATTTTCCATGAACATTTCTGAAGTCCCCTCACATGATTTCACTGATAATGTTCAGAATAGTTAAATGCAGACAGACAGACAGCAGTTAGCAGTTGCTGGAGTGACAGGGGGTGGATGGAGAGGGACAGCTGAGCGGGTCAAGGATTTCCTTGCAGGGTGATGAAGACGTTCTAGAACTAGAATGAGCAGGTGGCTGTGCAACACTGCGGACCCACTGAAGGTCACTGAGGCCCTCGCTGTAAAACGAGATTGTCAAGTGGCTAGTTTTTCTGTTATGTGACTTTTACCCCAATTAAAAAAATAAAATCTACAACCTGAAATGATTTCTCAATAAAAGTTTGACTTACTAAAGAAAAAGAGCCAACATCTGCTCAGAACATCCTCTGCCAACCAGACTACCTCAGAGATGTAAAACCGGGGGGCCTCAGAAGTCTCAGATGTGGCGGGCTTTCTTTCCTAGCTGGAATCAAAAATAAAACATTCTAGACCAGCCTCGATCAGCCTCGGTGATTGGCAAGTCTCTGAGAAAGTTCTTTTTCTTTTTTTAAAGATATTTTTGCCATAGGGTGTATGTGTCCACCAGAGACAGAGTGACAGTGAGAGGGCCAGTGAGGAATCACCCTCAGAGAAGATGGCCATGCTGCAGTCCCCTTTCCTCCCTTTGGACATGCAGTCACACATGCCTGGCATGACTTTCAGGCTTGCCAGGTCTGGGGCTCGGAGTGCTGTTGGCCATGTGGGAGTCCAACGCTTCAACCACCATGCCACCTGCTGGCTGAGAAGGTTCTGTTTTTTTTTTTTCCTCATATGTATAAAGGTACCATATTATTGATTTGGAGTTTCTAGAAGGCAGTTTGCTAGGGACAAGATTGAAGAACTGTTGAACGTGACCTCCTAACATAGGAAACAAAAGACAAAGACCCTGAAAGATTCTAGACAGTCCCTCACTGGGCTTGGCTTTTTCAAATGGGAAGTCTGGAGGTAACAGCATTTCACTCCAGGGAAGAACAGAGGCAGTGCTGGGGGACCCTCTGGGAGATCAGTGACGTAGTAACCAAGGGTCTGTAGATGCCCCCAGCCGAGGCCTGACAAGGTGATGGAAGCTGCAGGAAGAGCTGGCATCGTCCAAAGAAAGACCTAGAACAAACCAAGTTGGGAGTCAACAGAATGGCCCTAAGAGGGGAACCAGCAGTTAGCATAATGGCTATGTCGCTGGACTCCCACGTAGTCGACCGCGGTTCGCATCCTGGACCCGGTGGCTTAAAACTCACGCTGGGTGCGTGTGCGTGCGTGCCCAAGATCCCGAGAGGAGAATGGAGGAGAAGGGATTGCAGCATGACCATCCCCCCTGGGGGTGATTTCTCGCTTTCTGTCTCTATGTCTCTGTCTGTCTGGCGAATGCACGCGCCCTGTAGTGAAAACCTGTCCAAAAAAAAAAAGAAAAAAGAATGGCCCTAAGAGGAGGGAGGAGGATGTGGCCTGAGACTGGAGTCTCTCTGCTGACCCCTCTCAGGGTCCCAGGTGTTGACGCTGAAAACGCTCCTTATTGGTGCTTATAGAGGGTCTCGCCTAACGCTCTCCCGAGTTAGATTAGGGTAAGTCAGGATGGTCTACTCCCATTTCCTATCTCTTGTCTGTTTCAAACAGGGGAATTTCAGCCTGGAGATGAACCAAGTAAGTAGAAGCAAACAGATGACCGCATTCCGTCTCTGGAGAGGCACAAGGACACTGTGAAAGCTCAGGAAGTGAGCCCTGCAGGACGGACACAGCCGGCAGTCCAGCTCCACCGAGGAAGGCAGAGTAAAAAACTGCCTGCTGAGGGCAGGGGAGGCCTCGTACCAGTAATGAACATGAGGGGCCATTGGACTTGGAAGGCTCCTAGTCTGCCTTCTCTCTGGGCCTCCGAGAAGACAGGTCTCCCCTTCTCTAGAGAAGGCAGAGAATGCACACTTGAAGAAAGTTTCTGAAGTCCTTGGTTTTCCTTTCCAGCTATGACCCGGACTTGACAGCTTATCTGGGTTTGGTCACCCCGGGCACCCACACACGAGCCGCTGGTGGGGGTTTGGCCTTGTGGTGTAGAGCTGTTACCATGGCTACAGAGTCAATGTCTGACTTAGAGTTTTGAGGATTGAACAGATTAGAGACCAGGATGCTGTATCAAACCACGTCTTCCCGCCCTTTGTTTCATGGAACGCCATCCTGGCATGTCAGTTTCCTTCTCGTTTGGAGTCTGGTCTCTATTTGCTGTTAAAGTTTTGACACTGAAAAGATTGACCCTGTGGATTTACAATGATAAAGGCAATCCAAAGTGTGGGAAGCTGAGGGACCAGCAGATGGCATAATGGCTATGTTGCTGGGTTCCCACGTAGTAGACCATGGTTCAAGTCTCAGACCCGGCGACTTAAACTCACACCGGGTGTGTGTGTGCCCAAGATCCCGAGAGGAGAATGGAGGAGAAGGGATTGCGGCGTGGCCCTCTCCCCTAGGGAGAAGTTTCTTGCTCTGTCTCTCTCTGTCTTTCTGGCAAGTGCATGCACCCTATAGCAAAAACCTCTCCAAAAATAAATAAATAAATAAATAATGTGGGAAGCTGGTATTTCCACCTGGAATTTTCTGAGGACCTACGACATTTGTTTTCTCACCTTTCAGGCTGGAGAGAACTGAGCTGTCCATAGAAGAGCTTCCTGTGTTCCAGCCAGCCACCTTTTAGAGCTGAGGAGTCACAGCTATGACCAGGTAGACCTTAAACCCAAAGACAGCTGGCTGCCCTGCTTTCTGGGACTAAAACAAGCAGTCGGGTCATCGGTGATGGTAGAACCCTGGCCAGGCCTGTCTTTTATCGAGTGGGTAAAGCCAACGAAGCGGACTAGAGGCGTAGGTGTTCAACACTCACCTGAGGCGGAATCACGTAATCAGCCACATCCCAGATCCGGAATCCAAGTTTAGAAGAGTTGGTCACAGCCACACCCTTGGCCTTGGTAGTAACTGAGCTGACCACAGAGTCCACTTCCTGGTAACCCTTTTCCCACACGAACACCCACCTGTAGAATAAAACAGGCCTCTTAAATGACCGTTTGGATTCAGTGAACTGGATTGTTGCATTGAAGCCATGGAGCCTCCGGTTACCAGAGGCTGGGAGTGCGATGTTTACTGATGACGTGATTATACGAAAGTGATTTAACTTCTTCCTTTCCACTTCTGCAAAGTGGGGAGAGCAGCACCTACACCCCGGGTAATTTGTGGGAAATAAATGAGATGAAGCAAGTGAAGCACGTAGCACAGCGGTCCGAGAACGCCGGGGGCGGGCTCTACATCCTGGAGATTAAGGCAGCCGGACTCCACAGGGACGCCCACGCGGATGGAGTCCTGGTCCTGGCAGCTTGAGAAACGCTGCATATGGATGCGTACGTGCCCAAAGTCCCAAAAGGAGGGAGACGCAGGGTGCTGTCTCCTGTCCCCGCTCTCTGTTGAACACATATACCCTCCAGCAAAAAAACAAAACAAAGCCTCTCGACGAATGCTATCTATATTATTAAATATGAGCACTCACGGTGCACTGAAATTCAATGGGAATCGCCAAGACATAAGAATGAAGGTAATAAAGGTTCACTTGAGTGTTTTTAGGTACCAGACTGGTCATTCCTGCCTGCTGAGGGCAGGGGAGGCCTCGTACCAGTAATGAACATGAGGGGCCATTGGACTTGGAAGGCTCCTAGTCTGCCTTCTCTCTGGGCCTCCGAGAAGACAGGTCTCCCCTTCTCTAGAGAAGGCAGAGAATGCACACTTGAAGAAAGTTTCTGAAGTCCTTGGTTTTCCTTTCCAGCTATGACCCGGACTTGACAGCTTATCTGGGTTTGGTCACCCCGGGCACCCACACACGAGCCGCTGGTGGGGGTTTGGCCTTGTGGTGTAGAGCTGTTACCATGGCTACAGAGTCAATGTCTGACTTAGAGTTTTGAGGATTGAACAGATTAGAGACCAGGATGCTGTATCAAACCACGTCTTCCCGCCCTTTGTTTCATGGAACGCCATCCTGGCATGTCAGTTTCCTTCTCGTTTGGAGTCTGGTCTCTATTTGCTGTTAAAGTTTTGACACTGAAAAGATTGACCCTGTGGATTTACAATGATAAAGGCAATCCAAAGTGTGGGAAGCTGAGGGACCAGCAGATGGCATAATGGCTATGTTGCTGGGTTCCCACGTAGTAGACCATGGTTCAAGTCTCAGACCCGGCGACTTAAACTCACACCGGGTGTGTGTGTGCCCAAGATCCCGAGAGGAGAATGGAGGAGAAGGGATTGCGGCGTGGCCCTCTCCCCTAGGGAGAAGTTTCTTGCTCTGTCTCTCTCTGTCTTTCTGGCAAGTGCATGCACCCTATAGCAAAAACCTCTCCAAAAATAAATAAATAAATAAATAATGTGGGAAGCTGGTATTTCCACCTGGAATTTTCTGAGGACCTACGACATTTGTTTTCTCACCTTTCAGGCTGGAGAGAACTGAGCTGTCCATAGAAGAGCTTCCTGTGTTCCAGCCAGCCACCTTTTAGAGCTGAGGAGTCACAGCTATGACCAGGTAGACCTTAAACCCAAAGACAGCTGGCTGCCCTGCTTTCTGGGACTAAAACAAGCAGTCGGGTCATCGGTGATGGTAGAACCCTGGCCAGGCCTGTCTTTTATCGAGTGGGTAAAGCCAACGAAGCGGACTAGAGGCGTAGGTGTTCAACACTCACCTGAGGCGGAATCACGTAATCAGCCACATCCCAGATCCGGAATCCAAGTTTAGAAGAGTTGGTCACAGCCACACCCTTGGCCTTGGTAGTAACTGAGCTGACCACAGAGTCCACTTCCTGGTAACCCTTTTCCCACACGAACACCCACCTGTAGAATAAAACAGGCCTCTTAAATGACCGTTTGGATTCAGTGAACTGGATTGTTGCATTGAAGCCATGGAGCCTCCGGTTACCAGAGGCTGGGAGTGCGATGTTTACTGATGACGTGATTATACGAAAGTGATTTAACTTCTTCCTTTCCACTTCTGCAAAGTGGGGAGAGCAGCACCTACACCCCGGGTAATTTGTGGGAAATAAATGAGATGAAGCAAGTGAAGCACGTAGCACAGCGGTCCGAGAACGCCGGGGGCGGGCTCTACATCCTGGAGATTAAGGCAGCCGGACTCCACAGGGACGCCCACGCGGATGGAGTCCTGGTCCTGGCAGCTTGAGAAACGCTGCATATGGATGCGTACGTGCCCAAAGTCCCAAAAGGAGGGAGACGCAGGGTGCTGTCTCCTGTCCCCGCTCTCTGTTGAACACATATACCCTCCAGCAAAAAAACAAAACAAAGCCTCTCGACGAATGCTATCTATATTATTAAATATGAGCACTCACGGTGCACTGAAATTCAATGGGAATCGCCAAGACATAAGAAGAATGAAGGTAATAAAGGTTCACTTAAGTGTTTTTCTATCTATATTATTAAATATGAGCACTCACGGTGCACTGAAATTCAATGGGAATCGCCAAGACATAAGAATGAAGGTAATAAAGGTTCACTTGAGTGTTTTTAGGTACCAGACGCTGATCTAAGTTCTTTCTGTGAATTAACTCATTTAATCTTGGTCACTCCTTCCTGTCTTGCAGAGAAGGAGACAGAGAAACAGAGAGGTTAAGTCACATGCCTAAGGTCACACAGCCAGTGAGCAGCAGCTCAAGCCATAGCTCTTTCTCTTGCCTATTAGGTTTGACTTGTTCTAGAAGAGAAACCTACCTTTCGAGAACTTTTTTATGGTAGTTTCTTACTTTTTTCTCCAGGAACTTGGGTCACTTGTATGTTTTCCTCTTCTAAAATAAGGACATTACTACCAGTCCAAATAATTTAAAATGTAGAGGGTTTATTAGTCCACAAGTGGTTAAGACACCAGCACAGAGATTGGAGCCAGGGTGTCTTGGTTCAGATGACTTAGCACCATCACTCAAGCCTAAGGTTGGACACATTGCATTACCTCCCTGTGGCCCCGTTTATCCCTGTGGCCCATACGATGGGACTGACATAGAACTTCACGGGATTCTTGTGAGGTTAAATGAATTAATATATGTCAAATGCTTAGAACAATGTTTTTGAGTCACCATGGTTAGGCTGAAATTTGCTATGAAGGGAGTATTTACACTGAGAAAATTGGCCAATACTACAAATCAGAGCTCCTCCCCACCAGACCTGTTGTTAAACATCTACCAGAGACTTTTATTGATGTTATTATTTCTAGACTCAAGAACTGCTAGGGCCCGGCTGTGTTGGAACAAGCTGCTAAGGTGCTGGGCTCTGCTGTCTGATATCACATGGGGCTCCCAGGTTCAATTTCCAGTCTAGCCTAAATCTGCCCCTGTGAAGATGAGGCAGAAAGCTTAGAACCTGGCCAGACCTCATCCTTAAAAAATGGAAAAGAAACAGCAGGCTCTGTCTCCTTTCCTTGTAAGTCCTAAATGCTGAGACTTCAGAAATATACTAGTTTGGGTTAATTATTTATGGGTTAGCCTGGTCTGGGCAGTCTTTGGCTTCCTTGCCCATCCCAGAGATGGACTTTTTCTGGAAGCCCTCTTCTTCAGGCCTTCTAGTATCACTCAGCTGGAGCACAAGCTTGCATTCAATTCCAGTGTGACATGCTGAAGTTTAGGGCAGGAAGGCCACTATTATTTTACCAAGTTTAATGAGTTGCTAAATCAGAGAACAATCACCATCATGTGCTTAACTAGTTCCTCATCATGTGACCGTTAATACTCTGATAGCAGGATGTTCACGCGCAGCCCCTTGAGGAAGGGTGCTGTGGGCAGTAGGGGAGAAGAGACCACACTTTCACCAAGGTGATGGAGCAGGAAGTTCAAAGATGGTTAAAAGGGGGGTGTGTGTGGGGGGTGTCAGAGGCTCGGTCACTTTTGATCCTAACAAGATGAATAAAAGCAAAGCATTTACTACTTTAAATATCCTCATGACTGAGGTAGAGAACACTCTAGAAGGAGCCCAACAGAGCTACACTGCCCAAGAGAAATATAATGTGGGTCATTTATATCATTTAAAAAATTCTAGTAGTTATGTTAAAAAAGAAACAAGAAAAATGTAGTTTAGTGGGTTGGCTTGTTTTTCAGAATTATTTCCTTTATTTATCATTATTATTATTTTTGAAAATTTGACCAGAACGAGACACAGAGAGAGAGAAAGAGAAAGTGAGAGAGCAAGCCACCAGGCCTGAGACTTGAACCGTGGTCAGCCATGTGGGAGTTCAGAGCCTTTAACCACCACGCCACCTGCCAGTCCCTTTGTTTTCTTTTAGAGAGATTTTTCTATAGGGAGCAAGCACTCGCTGGAGAGACAGAGAGACAAAAAGCATGAAATCACCTCCAGGGGGAGTGACCACACCACAATCCCTTCTCTTCCATTCTCCTCTTGGGATTTGGGGCACACATACACATGCACCCAGTGTGAGTTTTAAGCCCTGGGGTCTGGGACTTGAACTATGGTCAACTACGTGGAAAGTCCAGCAACATAACGATTACGCCATCTGCTGGTCCCTTAGTAGTATATTTTGTAACTTGATATATCCAAAATATTTTGACAAGTGGCCAATAAAAAATGTATTCATGTAACATTTTATTGATACTTTCCTTTTAGTGCAATGTCTTTGAAATCCAGGATGTATTTTCCAATTAAAGCACATCTGAATTTGAAGTAGGAACCTTTCAAATGTCCAATAAGCCACATGTGACTAATGGCCACCATATGGTTCCACACAGCTACAGAGCCTTTCCGCAGTCCTAAATTGTATAGGTATTTTTATAGGTAGACGAGACTGGATCCCCTCATGAGAACAAAAGCCACGAGGAAACAGCCGTGCAGAGCTCCTGTTCCCAAAAACTTCCATTTCAACCAGGGATGTGGATTTAGTTAACCACCTAGAGGTGGGGCTTGAAATTAGTGCTTCATAATCACGACAGGATGAAGAGCTGGTGGTGTTAGGGACTACCTCACCCTAGACTTACTCAGTCCAAGCCCAGTGTGGGTCAGGTGGTTCCAACGTTGCATCCACACAAGGAAAGCTACCTTCTTGAATACCCTCAGTACCTACCACTGCTGACCTGATGGCTGGAAATCAAGCCTGCCAGGCCACGGAATTCTCTGGGACAGTCTTAACAGATTGCAAACCTCACTCCAAAGTGGGGAATCCGTTACTTTTAAACAGTTCCTCAGATGAGACTTTCATGAGCAGGTAAGTTTGGAGAATCTCCTGAGAAGCTGGTCATACTTTATAAGAAGGGAGTCAAAAGGTCTGTGGATGGAAGCCGCCATCAGTATTTTCTAGAGATTCCCAAATGGGTTTAATGTGTAGTTTGTTGGCATTTTAGGGAGACAAGCAGATACATCAGTCCAGCAGAGGCAGACACAAAGCCCCAGGTAAAACTAGAGTGGGCCCCGCAGGGCAAGGTCATCTCCACCTCTCCCCAGGGCTGTATTAAATTGTGGTGGTGCACTCCATTAAAAGGAAAGGTTTAGCGAAGCCTGAGGGTGGCACGGTAGATATAGAACAAAGGGTGGGTGACCAGGCTAAGGCAGAAACCCTATACCCGCACCCCCTTCTTGTTCTCACAAAACAAAGTGAATTTTAAATATTTGGAAGTTTGACCTTCCTGCTACCTTGGGTTACTACCCGGTTCTCAAAGAAAATCACAGGAAGCCACCGACTGGGTGGAAATCCCAAGCCATGGTCTACCGGCAGGGGGAACAAGAGAACACGACGGGGAAGGA